GACAGATAGACAGACAGACAGATAGACAGACAGACAGACAAAAATTCTAAAAACTTCAATATAATATAATTTCGATTCGGCCTCTGTATCGATAATAATGTCTATTTCAATAAGATTTTCCAAAAAATATTTAATGTACAGATTCGACTTAGTTAGAATTTTATTATATGTATACATACCATCGGGTATTAAATAATAATTTCATTTATTTAATTAGTTATACAAATTTAAATCCGTCTGTCCGTTTTAATTTAATGCACGATACTATAGGAATGCAGTATAGTTACGAGTATATCTCAAGAGTAGGTACATACCGTAATGGCTGCGCAAATTAAACTATAATGATTTGAATATATAATATTAAATTTTAACATTATCTTCACTTTCGATAAATTCAACCTATTCTACTTATACAAGTGATGTATAAAAAATCTTTATTTAAAATAAACTCGTTTTATATAACTTAGCAATTAAGTAATGATAAGGTGGAATTATTTTAGTTCATTATAAACGACCTCGATCGATATATAATTCTACAGGCGTAAATAGTGTACCTATGTGGGTAATTAATAAAATTTATATCTTTGAATGTTGAAATACAATATTTTTGTATTCACAAAATTATTGACCTTGCCTAAGTAGGCTTAAGACAAAGGAACTTACTCGCTAATCCGTTCTCTTATATAAATCCAAAACCAAAATTACAATGATAGAAGCGTTAAATGCCAAAGAATCCGTGGTAGGGCAAAGGCCAATGCCAACTTAGTTATTTTATTTTATAAATAAATAATATGTATCAATTTAGTATGGTTATAATTTTAGCATTTTCACGTAAAAGTTAAATAATACTAATAAAATAATATATTATTCTCAATTTTAGGGTTTCGTAGCCAAAAGGAGAACCGGTATGATTTTGTTATGTCCGTTTACCATAATATTCAATTTATTTTAAAACCATTGGTTCTACATGGATGTAATTTTGATATGGTAGGCCCCATGTGAACGATACAATGATGTAAAGAGAATAAAAAAAACGTGTGGCTCTCCATTCAAGTCAAAAAAATATGTACGTAGACTTTGTTAATTGTACGAATGGTTTTTCATTTATATTTGAAAATATTGTACTGTCGATTAAAAAAAATTATACGCGGTAAAAATATAAATCTAAGAAATTATGTAGGTAATTCTAATTACCTTCACTTATGTAATTCATGGCCTGGCATGGCATGGACACCTCCATGTACGAGTCAGACTCGTACTTCTCCGAATTTTATATTAAGTGGTTTCACGTAGAGATCTGATATTTAATGTGACTTGATCATGATCCGCCTAGGCTTTTCATAAAACAATACAATTTTCATTTATAAAGCTGATAATAGAGTAGTATTTTACGCTGCCAGTTGCTCTGTACTCATTACATTTCCAAATATTGTATTACATACATACATTCTATACGTTAAATAAAAGTTTGATCATAAATCTGACTCAAATATAGTTTCACTTTCACGTTATGTTGTTTTGTTGAATAATATCAAGCCCTTAGTAATTACTCGTTCAGAGTTGAGATGCCTATAGATGTCAGGCAAAATAATTGAACGAATAGAGTGGAATAACATGGCGGTTGTTAGATTGAAGTACCGATGTATCGTGGCAGATCACAATTTGGCGATGCTAACTATTCCATTTCTATATAATATTCCATACCAAAAAATCTTTTTAAATATTATGAAATTACGTAGAAGAAACAACAAAGTGTGAAAGAAACTACATGTAGTTATAATTTTATAAAACATGAAGGTACTTTCATATAAAAAAGGAAATAAATCAAATACGCGACACAAAAACGTCAAACCTGTTGCCAGCGACCGTTGAACTGGGACCCTTAATTTATTAAAGGAATAAAAACGTACTAAGTAATAACAAAACATTTGAATTGAAAACGTGCTTTTTACATATTTTCATTTAACGTCTTATGTTCATTTCAATTTTAGAAATTTAACATGAGCCCACATTTTTCTATACCTATAAGAATTGTATCACTATAAAAGCCCATTATGGAATATAATTAGACTAGTAGTTGCGGTTTCGCTTGAGTGTAAACTTCTCATATCAACAAATCCTTGTTTTTTATTGTATTTATCCTTAGACTCAGTAAATTAGAGCCGCGGCAGGCCTCAGTGAGACGCATTGCTAAAATACGCTAAAGTACATTAGTAGACGTGTTTAGCCGCGCCGCAACGCGATATTCAGGTCAGTTAACTGTTATTTATAACAATGGATAGCGCCAAAATTCTTATTAACTATGTGTTTCATGGATAGCTTTAAAGGAAAATGTAAATAAAAGTACATACATGGTGTCTCTTTTGAAACGGCCATAGTTATTTATTTTTTACTACAACATTTTTTTTAATTTCCACGGAAAATCACAATAACTGGTTCTATCGAGTCGTCCTCAGAAATTTATATGGCTTGGCTAAACCTTTAGAGATACATCAAAACAAAACACTAGAAAATTGTAGGCCTTAAGGGGCCTACAAGGTAAGGAATTTTCTGTAGCCCTTTTTAAAAAGGTCTAAAATTCCGAAATAGTATATGACTTTGTCTATCTCCTAAGATACACTCGCAATAACTATTTTTATTATATACTAGCGACTCGCCTTCGTGGTCGCTAGTAGAAAATAAAAACGTTAAATTACTTTCGTATACGAGTGCGTCCTAGCTCTGCTTTAGATGGATGTATGCGTCAACACATTAATTTATGCGATGATGAATACGCTTTATTTGACATTTAATTTACGTATTAATAACTTGCAAAAACTTGTAAATATATTAATAACTCGTTGATAAACAAAATTTAATTTAAAATTATTAGTATTAACCTACAGATAATTTTGTAATGCATTTTTTATGACATACATAATATAATGTACTTCCATAACATTGATAAGTATTTTAATCTTGCGTCATACTTTTAGAAATAGAAATATTAAATTTAATTTATAGCTTTTTAGTAAATTAAAATATTTTTATTTATGAGAAACATCAAAATAACTGACTCTTTACATTGTTGATGCAACTATAAGGACCTGGTAGATATCATTCACGATCAGTGAAACACGTACGGTACACCTAATATTAATTAATTATCATTAATTCATTAAAAAGGTCGTATTCTAATATCATGCGCTAATTAGATAGATACATAAGTGAATTAAATATTCATATATTCATAATTATGAAGTTTAATAACTTTTTATATTAAATATGCCACTTTTAAAATAACCTACTTTAACATTTACTGCTTTTGTCTTTTAAGGTCAGTTGCCAGTTAGATTTAAATCAACTTATATTTACTTAATGTTTGGTAAACAGTACAAGTTGATTTAAAATTTAAGGCTTTCAATTTAGTTCTATTATAAATTGCTAATTTTAAATTTAAAGTAATTATATCGTAATAGTTTATTTATTCCATAACAGTCTCTGATCATGTTTAAGTTGGGTCCTAAAATTCAAATGACTCAACTAAAGCAATTTATAAATTTTCACTTTATTAATTTTAAAGTGAAAATAAAACATTGTGCCCAGCCAATTAAATCTTGAAAGTCGATTATACTCGTAATATATTTTTAATTGGCTTAACAGTTTAAAACTTTATAATATTAAATTCGAATGACAATACAATATTTTTTTACCATCGAGTTAACTGTTGACAGACTAATAGAGGATGAGCCCGTGCCAAAGCCACCATAGCCTGAACTTTATAATGGTCCATCGTTCTTATCTGTGTTGGGAGCATGCGCTGACAAACTTTCAGCTTTTATAAAATGACGAAGGTCTGGCGTTCACAGGCTCTTAGGCCATAAATAAATATGTACATCCCTTTAGTCGGTGGAGCTTTTATTTTGATAAGTCTAATTAATTATATCCTTCTTAATTAAAACATTAATAATTATTAAGTACTTTGAAAATTCTACATATATGTAGAAGAAAAGTTCACAAGTTTCTTTTTTAATTTTAATTTTTAATTTTTAACATATTTGGGAAACATACAGTACAATAATACTTAGAATTAATCAGGTACATAAACCAGCGAAGTTTCCACTTAAAAATATAACATAAAAAAAAAGATTCCGACGAATTGAGAACCTCCTCGTTTTTTGGAAGTCGGTTAATTAGAGCACAAGTGACAAGCCAAAAATAATATCCATAGAAAAAACAAGCAAATAAGTTGATCGTGGAACGTTAAGCTTTTTTTTCATTTACATTGTGTACATTAAAATCACTGAGAACTTGAATAAAATAATACATTAGTAACAAAAATGAATAACTAAGGAAGTAGCTATCTAAAACCGTTAAATTTTTATCGCACTTTTTTACACTGTAGTCGGGTAATTAGGAAACCAGTCAAAATCGACGTTATTTCTAAGATAAAACCCAGAGTAGCAATTATGACGAGGTAACTGCTTGCTATTGGGAGGTAACAAAACGGACCTTTCACTGCACCGAGTTTGACCGTGGAATAGTGTATTTATCATATTTTTGATCTGAGATATTATCATCCCAAAAGTTCTTGAGTCATTAGTTTCGAAGCACGATTCCTTTGGCTGTAGACAAGAGCCTCATGGAAGCCTAGAAAAACTTTGATTTGTTTCGTTCTACTCTATAGAAGTGTAGTCATATCGTGTACTAGGGTATTCTTTTAGTTCGACATTACTATATCATAACAATAATATAGGTATAATATTACGATATATATCGTTACACAATTTAAAATATTTACATATGCTCAAAATAATTCGTAAATAATATTTATGTATTTTGACGACTCTTGACGGCACGTTTGGCTCAGTTTGTAGTGACCCTAGTTCTTGTCACACTCAGCCAGACCCCTCCCTTCCCCTTATGCGAACGTATTTTATGAACGGCCCCTTACCATGGAACTAGATGGTGCTGTCTATTAATGTCCCAACATATTTATTTATTATTATTATTATTTACAGATGGCGATATTTCTTCCAATACTCTTCAGCATTTTAGTCCTTCAAACAACCTCGAGAGCTGCACCGAATGTTTTGGTTAATAAGAATATAGAGGAAGATCCTAAGCTTGATAATGAACCATATGGTGCCGCTGAAACTATAAACGTTGATAGTAAAAACGAAAATAACGAACGACAAAAAAGGTATTTTGATTATAACGTAGAACTTGAATATCCACCATATAATTTTGATTTCAACTATCCCTATCCAAGCCGTTTCAATTACAACAAGAGGGACGAATCTCAAAATATAGGTGGATATGGCACAGAAGGTACATTAAGGTATGTTTTAAGATATCTGCAAAAAATTGTTCGTGATATCAGGCAGCAATCATCCGTATCACATGTTCCAATAAGTACTCCGACATATATACCGTTGTTTTACATACCACAAGTGGACTGCAGTTGCATTTCTAACAATAACCCACCGTCACCAACAAATAATAACAATAACAATCAACACACTACAAAATCTCCCACAAATCAAGAAACAAATACACCAGAGCTTCCTGACAGATTGGGCCCTGTCAATGATGATGTAGATGAGGACGGTAACAGACCTATTTCATTGGATCCTGTTGAACCTTCATCGCCATTAGATGTTCCTGTACCACCCGTAGAGCATGGCAGTGTACAAGCAGGTGCCAAGTTACCACAAAATGTACCGACCACTAAAAGAACGCCGTCAAATAGTCCAACTTTGCCAAGTATCAGCAAAACAGAACCGCCCGGCCTTTGTGAAGCAGCAGTGTTATTTTGTTGTTTACAACCTCAAATAACGCAAAAATGTTTCGAAAGACAGGGCTGCCCAGATCCTTCAATTTATGGTAATCCATGTGAACCTCAAACATTTAGGCAGATACTGGAGAGAGTTTATACGCATGTTAAGCAACGAAATGGTTGAAAAATAGTATAGATTTATTTGAAATTCAAATCTTTTTATGTATCTAAGTGCCTAATTTCAAATTCCCTACATTTGTGTATTTTAAAGTGCGTATTTTTTTTAATAAAATGATTATAACAATAATTTCTTGTACATTATATAGGTTTAACATTGATATTTATTTTAGGAATATGTAAATGTTAATTCTTTTGCTATAAGAATTATAAGATATAATCATTAATATACAAATAAACAGTGCATTACGTCTGCTTGCTTTTTAGTCCCGCTACAATATGTGATACTTTGTTCCTATACTATATAACTTGATACTGTATTTTTATCTACCGCTTCGATAATGTAATATAAATATGCATTCAACTTTTACTTGACGTTCATAAAGCTTTATCTTCGAAGTGTCAAAATATGTAGTAAATACTCATATAATTTATTTGTATATTACGTTTATAAAGTCTTCATTTATTCTGTACCATACGAATGTAATCGATAGACTTATTTGTCGTGGTCCTTCACACAACGTAATAAAAAAAAATTGTCGTCGTTCTATTCGAAAAAGTTTACTTTTATATTTGTACATTAATATAGTACAAAATTACATAATATTAAATTATTTTAAATCTGTATCTTTTTTAATTTTCATTTCCCTTTATTTATTTAAATAAACATAAATACTAAAAATAATTATTATTTTATTTTAAGGCGTAGAAGGAAAATCAAGTTTGTTTATTAAAAAAAACTAACAGAACTCGAAAGTCGAAACCACCGTTTAACCAAATATAACTTATTGTATTATTTGACACTACATTCTTTTTATTATATAATTCATTCATATATATAATAAAATTCTAACTAAGCCGAATTTGTACATTAAATATTGTTTAGAAAATCTTATTGAAATAGACATTATTATTGATATAGAGGCCGAATCTATAGTTTCTAGAACTTTTGTATGTCTGTCTGTCTGATTGTCTGTGACCGCATCACGGAAAAACCACTGGAAGCATTTTGATGAAATTTGGTATGATGATAGCTAGTTATGCGGGAAAATATCTCATCTCTGAGAAATCTATACTAAACCATAAAATGTAAGCAGGGACGAACCCGAGCGGAGCGAGGGTAAGTTGCTATACTGTATTCGCCGAATGAACCAAGCACTGAGATTTTGCACTTCCACGTGATAAGTCAGAAATAAGACGCTTAGGCCGCGATTACAATGCAAGTCATAATTAGTCTGTCGTTGCATTTCGTACCGTGCAGACGTCTCTCTTGTAGTTACCTAATTAATTATCAATTTAGGAGATTACACTAATACATCAGAAAGTGAAAATTAATAAATAATGTATATAAATATTTAAAAATACAGTAAATTTTTCTTTAATGTTGATTTTATTTTAATACAAATTATTAATAATTCCTCACTAAAGCATTAGCAACATGAACGAGCCCTATGATTTCAAACCAGTTGCAAGTGTTAGTCGGCGGAGCTACACAGTTTTCTGTCCTTATCAGTTTGTATGCTAATGTGGGACAGAGAAAGCGCTATGCATGGTTCACTCCGTAAACAGAGTAAAGTTTAATATATCCACTTTTGCCAACATTGGTCTCTGTATTGTCTGTGGTAGATAGTTAATATACTATAAAGAATAAAATAATATTTTTGCTCACAAAAATTATAGCGAGCGATAAGTAATCCAAGTGTTTTTTTAACTTGTTATATATGCTAAATAAGGTAGGTACAGTATATGTTAAAAGCTTGCAAACGAATATAAGTATCTACATATATGCGCTTTAAAAAATTGTAGCCTCTAGTAATAATAAAATAATAAGTAACATTGTAACAGTAAATCTAACGAGCAATCTGAAATATATAGTAGTTTGATCGTTTACATCTTAGAAAAAAATATTAAAAAGATGTATTATAAAAGTAAAAAATCCGACTGCTTAAAAGCTAAAAAGACGAAAAGTTGACGAAAAAAAGTTGTGGAAAACAAGTTGACGAAAGAATAAAGTGTTATGCAGTCGGAGACATACCTACGTTTCATCCTTGCCGCAAGATGTATGCACATATGTAACTGTACCAAGTCGAACTGTAAGCAATAGAGGGTTGCCTTCATGTCCTTTTCAATGCGAAATTACCAATGTTCACCAATTAATTAAATAGTAAACCTCCACATCACAGTGAGCGTAGATATTTGGCAGCTTAGATACACTTCGCGATAAAAAAAGTTAAGCCAATATTCTCTCTAACCTATATTCTTCGTCTGTGAAATTATAAGGTATATTTATATTAATTTATTAAATCAAGCACTTTTGGCAGTGAGCAGGGGACAATTCTCAAAACTACTTGTGTCAAATTTAATCTGTGTGTAATATCAATTTACTTATTTAAATTTTATAGTATGACTGGATACGTAATGTCTATAAAAATATAAAACAAATTAATAATACCAGAGTAATAATACCAGACTGAAGTCAGTTCCGAAAATAGTCACTAGGGAAATCTAGTCATCATCAATAATGAGGCAAGCAGCGTTACCACAAACGCCCACAAACTCGTACTGACAGCCATTGAGACATGTTGATTACATTTCAATGTATTTTTTTCTATGATAATAATCCTTTTTTTCTTCAATTGGGAATGTAAGATCAAGTCGAATCTGGTAGGATTTAAATAAATCATTTAAAAATATTATATTAGATATTTATGTGCAAACATATATCAACCCCCTAAATTCTTTCATTTCTATCAAATTATCTACTACTTAAAATAAAAATAAAATACCAAATTTTCCGTAGGTATACCTAAAAAATACCTACAGTGTGTTAAAAAAACCCTGTCCGATCGGAAACCAGTGTATAGGTATCCCAATCACATGACCAAATAAAATAAGAAATATAAAATATTCATGATAGTAAACATATTAATGAAATTTAAAAAGTTCATTTATTTTGCTAATTTCCCCACAATTCTAGGAAATTTTATAAATGTACAACACTAATTTCGGCGGTATTATAATCATGTGGCGGCGGCATCTTTGATGTGTGCCGACAGACGATGCGCCGCCCGTTGTCAAAGGTACCGCTCGGCACGTGTAGAGGCTATCCCGACCTTGAATTACATACTTACGATCACTATTTGTTTGCTTTATTATTTATTTCACTTAAAATTATGTCAGTTTCGCGAAACATTGCATCCGAGTGCACGTGTTGGAGAAATTGAGTTTTAACTATGTCGTATACGAATGAAGAGTACTGTAATATGATAATGTGTTTGGGGAGGAGTGACTGCAATTATGCAGAGGCTCATAGAGACTATGAAGTGCGTTTCGCAGTTCCGCGGGGTACCATGGTGCCGTCAGAGCGTGCGGTTCAACGTCTTCACAATCGTATGTACACCACGAGCAGTGTTCACGGCTACGAAACGCATCATGCTGATACAAGGACACCGCGTATCGACATGGATATTGAAGAGCAAGTGCTTGTGTTATTCAATAAGGACCCCACCCGAAGTACTCGTTCTGTGGCACGACAACTGGGCGCTTACCACGTTCAGGTGTGGGAAGTGTTAAAAGAAGATGGCGAGCATCCTTTCCACTACCGTCCTGTCCAAGCTTTACTACCCAGTGATTATGAACCCAGAGTGGAATATTGTGCATGGATTTTAAGGAAAATTGAAGAGGACGCTGAATTTTTAAAAAGGGTTATTTTCACCAATGAATGTTCTTTTCATAGAACAGGCGTCTTTAACAGCCGGAATGAATATGTGTGGTCGACGCTAAATCCTTACGCCCATAATCCGTGATAACCTTTTGCGACGCTGTCAAGCCTGTATCACTAGTAGAGGCCGTCACATGGAACAACATCTCCATCACAGCCATCGCATTGGCGTCCTCATCGAATAACAGACTACCTACTTACAAAATACAAATTGATAAGCGTAGTTTGAACTTTGAGGTCAACTGCGTTCATGACCTTATGACGTCACCAGTATTGCTATGTAAGTTTCACAATGTATGAAATATTTTAAATTTTTAAGCGGGGTAATTTTTTTTACTTGGAATCTGTTTTTTTTTACATAAATAGAATCGAATCGCGATACCTAATAATACCTTCACGGATCGGACAGGGTTTTTTTAACACACTGTATAAATAATTTTTTTTACAACCAATTCTTATGAGTCGAAGTCATTAAATATTACTTTTTTTCAAGACTATATGATGATATAGTAAAAATAAATGTACAATATATACATATTAATAAACGTGAATTGACTTATTCCTTGAAACCTGGAAATAAAATAAGGTATCTACGCAAGCGTGTCTTGCAGCCGCAGCGACAAACTATACAGTGTGTAACATACCTAACTGATGGATCAAAGTTTCAAACCTAGCATTGGTCGATGACCTTATCGCCTTCGGATTCAATCCCCATGTATGTTGAGCGATTTTTAGTGGTTCCAAAGTTATTTGGATTTAAAAAAATAAATAGTGAAAACAATATTTTAAAATACAGTTTGCAAGTAAAGCCGAAGTATCAACTATACGACAGTGGTGTTTTTTTAAAGTAGTCTGTATAATAGTTTTTGTTGGAATATTCTAAAAGTCCAAATAATAATAAAATACCATGAAAAACGTTGGTAATTTAATTTACATCTTTAACTTTCAGTCCTTAAATTTTCTTTGTAATAGTAATTTTTTTCTACAAATTTTTCTAAAAGCTGCGCTAATTTATGAACAATAAACCCTGCAAATTTCATTTAACTAGCACCAAGGACGGCTTCATTTTCAAAAATGTATTAAATTAAGCCATGTACAAAAATAACTACTGGGTAGTTATTAAAGCTTCGTCCTAATAGTCTATAATCCCCGTGCTTATGAAAAAAACGTGATATTAAAATTGATTGGTAACAGATCTTGCAACTTTACTTCCGGCATTAGGGTATTTATTATGTTGAAAATGTATTTTAACAGTGCAAAATTTTTTACTTATATATTTAAAT